CGTAAAGAATTTTTTTTCAATCAGTTTCGTTCATTATATTATCATTAGATTTACCCCAAAGACATCGGGGATAAAAAAAAAAAATTGATGTGAAAAAAAGGCATTTAGAGAAGGTGAAGTTAATGAGTATAGTTCTGAAAAAGTTTATATAAATATACGTAGGATAAAATCAAACAAACTCATCCAAATTTTTTGCCATTCAGATACAAGTCACCTTTTTGCGATACTTAACCACCTTTGGGTGAGGGTATTCTGTGTAATAAAAAAATATATATATACCCATTTGTTGAAAAGATGAATGAACACCTCACTCCATATGGCTGGTCACGGTTATTCTCTATTGCCGCGTAACTGTTGTGTTAGAATTTCCGTAGGTCTTAGCTCCATAGGCTCTTCCAAATAATTCTCCTTGGATTCATCTTAAACAACCCTCCCCCCATCTCAGCTAAAAATGACAAAGACAACCAAAAATACAATCTAAATAAAATAACATCATCCTACACAAACTCATAGATCCAAACTTTTTTCTCCGATAGCAAAGTCGTAAAGGATATAAAAAGGGAATGGTTTGCTTTCTGAAAACCTTTTTCTGAAACACTTTAGGATTACAATGAACAAGGACAGGGTTTATAAAAAGAGTAATCTAGAATTGTAATGTAACGGAACCCTGTTTGACCTTCAGTGTGCTGGCCTAGCTGCTTCTTTGTGCAATGGTATGAGTTCTTGTTTCAGTGTGATTTTGGTCAAAATTTTGGTCTTTAAAGGAAAAACTATACATATTGATGTTCTGTCGTCGACATACTGACATCTCTAGGGGCTGTGGATGGGTTTGGGTGTCCATTCTCTATGTCTTTTACTTTTAAATACTGCAAATCTGAATTGTGTCATCTTATTGCATGATGAGAGAAAGAAATCTGAACGTGGGAAAGAAGGCTTTACAGTATATAAAAATGATTTTACTTAATCAGAAGACAAAGAGAGAGAGAAAAAAAAAACATTTTAATGCAACTTCCAAAAAAAAAAAATAAAAAAGAAGAAAAATACTGCAGGATACAAAATTACAAACCATATACTAAATTCGTCAGATGGACACCCAGACCCACACCCCAGCTGACTCTTTCCTTCAGTACAATGCAGTATGACACAAGTACTATCATTCATGGCACTAAAACTGAGACTTTAGGGAGGTTGAGACATAAGTAGCAAAATATTCAATGCATATTAATTTCTTGTTCTTGAAACTTTTTGAACTTGAATCATTCAGTTAGTGCATGCATAACATATTAGAAGATACATAATAACCCTACAGGTAGTTTATTTGAGATATGTTTAGAAGAAAGAATTCTTGAACGTGTGTAGAGTTGATGGACTTTGCCGACTGACAGCGAAAAAATCCAGCTTAATGATCTACACAAGTGAACAAATGACGTGTTTTCAGTAATGAACAAAATTGAGTATAGATTTAAGCTGGATATTGTTTAATTGTTCATTTACGTGGAAGATTTCTCGGATGCATTTTCCTTTTCCTCGACCAAAAAATCTTTACTAGATCCCTTAAAAGAATTTGAAAGGGCAATGCTGTTTCAGTTTTCAACAAAAATACATAAACAAGTGTGTCCTCTTTGTATAATAGTGACAATTTGAACACACAAATAACCCCACACACTTTGTTTCCTTGTGTATAACCCTATCACATGATCTAGAATTCTTTTTATGGAAAATATTCTTAGTAATTCATCTTCTGTCTACCTTCTACATATTATAGCACTGCCATGAGAGCAGTTCAATTTACGTAGCTCAGTTTTTCCAGAGACTTCATGTGGATATTTTGTCTGTGGTCAAGTGGGACTTTTATCTTTATCATTTGCCGGTATTTCAAATTGTTATGAGCCCATTCTCACACAAGGTGTATATACATCTATCATTTCCAACACACCTCACCAAGGGAGATACAAATAAAGACAAAGAAAGAAGTAAACTCTGCATAAAAAAAACAAAAAACACTAATTGGAAATAAGCAAAATAAATCCAAGCATAACGCAACTTAATAAAATAACAAACGAAAAAAAAAAAAAAAAGAGACCAGGCCAGTCCGCTCCTTGCCCATGCCAAACTACCTACCCTCAGTTGACGATAGGTCGTGCCACACACACAATAAATATGAGGTTTTGCTTCTCCCGAATATTTTATCAATCCTATATTTTCAATACCAAATAAAAGAAAGCATGAAAAAATGCTACATATGTGCCAAAAAATAAAAAGGGAAAGTACAGCCGAATTGGGGTGTTTGGTGTCAACCTATCATTAACTAGTGTATTAAGAAAACTACTTTAGCTACTAAATTCTAAAAAACTATACAAAAAAAACTAAACAAAAAAATTATAAACAAATAAAAAAAATGAAAAAAAATCTTTCCTCAAATTACATTCATAGAAATAGAATGATATTCCACGCAGAAAGTATATAGCCACTAACTATGTATTTTCACAGATATGAAACAGAACAGATCGATCTCCAACATAATGACAACGTAAAAAGAAACCAAAAATAAACACAGGCATTTCTTTAAAAAGGGTTAAAATTGGATCATAGAGTTGTACAAAGCATCTGCCGAGGTGTCATCCACAAAAGACAACAGCTGTGCCAAAAACTTACCCCATAACTATAAGATTTACTGTAGGCCTTAAATTGTAGTGCTGTCTTGTGAATAAACTTTATACTTAACACCTATATTTTTTTATTATCCGATAACATAAAATATATGGAAGGTAACCTGGCTGTTGATTTTTCAGTATTTCTGTATATGGATATAAATTTGGATTTGATCAATGATAAATAATTTATACAAATATATATACACATCTCTCTCCCTCTCTCTCACACACACACACACACACACACACACACACACACACACATACACACACACACACACACACACACACACACACACACACACACACACACACACACACACACACACACACACACACACACACACACACACACACACACACACACACACAGATATGTATATTTTGTAAGTATGAATGTATGAATGTATGTATGTATGTGTGTGTATATATATATATTAATATATATATATATATATATATATATATATATATATATATATATATTATATATATATATATATTATATATATATATATATATATATATATATATATATATATATATATATATATATATATATATATATATATATATATATATATATATATATATATATATATATATATATATTATATATTATATATTATATATTATATATATATATATATATATATATATATATATATATATATATATATATATATATATATATATATATATATATATATATATATATATATATACATACACACATATATACACATGTGCAATATACATGTACACTTTTCTTTTCTTTTCTTTCTTTTAGTACCCTCCTCTACTTAAATGCAGGCTAAAAAGACAAAATCTATAAATGTGCATAACATGTTTTCCTGAGACTTTATTACAATTTGCTTAAAGAAAGGCATTATATATTGCATATATACAAAATCAACTATAACTAAAAATATACATGTCTACTTCACACTTCATTGTTTAATCTATTTTCTAAGGATATTCTATGTATGAAATTATTTTCATCAAAAGTGATTAAACCTTTTCTAAACTTTTCTCCTTCGCTTTCTAGCCACTCTTCCCTGTTGAATTCAGGAAAGAAGAAATCCATCTCTTTTGCAGCCGTTTCTGGTGAATCTGTTGAAAAGGAATTATAATATCTTTAGTTAACTTTTCATCCGATAGGATTTCTTTCAAGATAATGATATTCACTATACAGGCTGTAAGAAAACAGTAATTCTTAAAATTTCAATAATATGAATAAATGATTATCCTGTGTTGTTTCCTTTCTGCAAAGCACATAACGCATCATGAGATGAAGTCCTAATTTACAAAGAAATGACAGTAACATTAACCTTTTCAGTGATGCAGCCCTCATTAGATGCCAAGTGATATGGACATTACTTGATGTCCAAATCATAATTTGTTTATGAAACCTAGAATTTTCATTTGACGGGAATTTGCATATATACATCCCTTATTGAAGAAACCAACACCATTATGTCTGAAACTTCTCTATCAATATATTTGAATACATATTAGAAACACTAAGTAGTTTATTGCCTTATTGTTGAGTAATTGTATGCATATGTGCAACACAGTGAATATTCGTAATTGCTTAAAATGTTAGAGTATGAAGGAGCTGCATAACAGTGAGGGAATGCATATCATTTCAGAATATATCAATGAAGAGGTTAACTTGAAATGATCATGGCAGAAAAAAAAATATGATACTACATAAAATCACATAGTGAACCAATGAAGTATGGTCTAATTCTGATCTTACAATCATAAGGTAAAGAATTATGAAAATTTGTACCAACATAGCCAATACACATGATTTTATTACTGACATTCAGACTTATGTGTAATATTTGTTAAACAAAACTTTTACACATGTTTATATATTCAGACCAATGAACTTAAAAAAACAAACATAATTAAACTAAGCCTTTGACAGCAATAGGCAACTGTAGTTGCAATTCAAAACTATTATTCATGACAGGTTTGGTGACTACAGACAAATGGCTTTGAAAAACTCCACTGTGTTCCTGGGCAGTGGGTTTAATACCCCTGGCCTGTTTTGCCTAAGTATAAGCTGCAATCTGTGTCTGGGAAGACAGGAAAATGACAAGCTGGTGACAATAGACTGGCTGTTCTAACTGATACATACTTAATCATAACACAATAAAATCATGAATTCTTGTGAAAGATAAGTTGATTTTCAAGCATCATTATGCTTTTGAAAAATGTTCTTGTAAAAAGTTAGTACCATAACTCTGTGGATGCAAAAGTAAACATAAGCAAAATTTGATTCCTTTTCATATATCTCATACATAAACACATTTACAGTCAAATATAAATAAAGCATAAATAACCTTTATCTACTCCCAACAAGAAAATAATGTTCAAATAAGCACTTTCGTTTTTTTTGCCACTATCAATGCAAGGGCTGTGGTTAAATGATTTTTAAAAATAGTAAAGTAAGAAGTTCAAATGCACAGTAAACAGTCCTAATGAAGTCACAGCCATAAACCAAAAATGGACTACCAGTGAAATAAAAAGCTCTTGAGAAGAAAATCAGACTAACTCACAACTACTGACAGTCTCTGACCTGAACCGTGTGTGGAGTTTCTTGTGTCTGTGAGCCCATACAAGCCACGCAGAGTGTGTGGTGCCTCGTATTTTGTCTTGTACACTTTGGTGGGACCCATGAGTGCTCTCCAGTGCTTGATGGCATCCTCGCGGGCAAGAACAAGGGCATGAGTTGGTCCACTGTAAGGAGGAAGAAGGTGACTAAAGCTTCTGGAAAATGCAGCAGGCATGTGCTTAACAAGGATTTCTCTTTTCAATAAATCAAAAATAAAAAAGGGGAAAAAATATCTTATATGTACTGATAACAAGAAAACATCAGGAGTGATTTGGTGGCATGAATCTGTTCTGATAATATTCAGTGTACTTAAAAGGAGACAAAAAAAAAAAAAAAAAAAAAAATGAGAGAAAGGAGGAAAGAAAGAAAGAAGTTAACTGACTTTGCTAACACTGGAAGAGACATTTAGTCTATATGAGTGGTAGATCTCTTGTGACATACTGTTGACTCTAGTAAAAGACTGTCAGTGTGGTTACTTGATGCTCTGACAAAGACACAAATCTGATTGGTGTGAATATCAACTTCGTTTCTATAAACTTTATATAACTACCAAAAGCCATACTACATCCCAGGCTCTGAACAAATATATTTTTACTTCTTGAGGATGCTCAATTAAGAGAAGAAAATACAAGTTAAGACTATTTACAGATGACAACCATGTCATATGTCACAACAACTCAGGTTACAAGTTGTCAGGTACTATCAAAAAAATTAACAGGTTTAGTCCACGTCATGGCTCAAGCCTTACAAAGTGAATATTAAAGAACAGAAGCATAAACAAACACACACACACACACACACACACACACACACACACACACACACACACACACACACACACACACACACACACAGGGCCATTTTATTTTTGGATCCATAAATCACCTTGCCATAAAGGTGACGAGTCTGTTATAGAAGAACTTCCCCTGATGCTCCCCATAGAACTTTTCCGTCTCTTGCCTGCTGAGTCGGACCTCCTTGTGACGTACCACCAGGAACTCTTCACTGAGAATCTTGCTTCTGATAGCCTAAGGATGAGATATAATGAACAACTGGGGAGATGCAATAGACTGGCGGTTCTTTTTAAAGTGAATGTTAAATTTTTGCTCTTCATATTTGTACATATGGTATTATGAAGGAGAGGAATTAGAATAGGAATGGGAATGGGAATTGGGATGAGAAAGAGAAAAGATGGGTAGGATAGGGTAGGGTAGAGTAAGGCAGGGCAAGGGCAAAGGGAAGGGCAAAGGGAAGGGCAAGGGTAAGGGTAAGGCAGGGCAAGGGCAAAGGGAAGGGCAAGGGGAAGGGCAAGGGTAAGGGTAAGGCAGGGCAAGGGCAAAGGTAAGGGTAAGACAGGGCAAGGGCAAGGGTAAGGGCAAAGGTAAGGGCCAGGGCAGGGCACAAAAGAAAATAACTAAATAAACTGACCTGCACAACATGAGGTACTCTTGTAACATCAGGCTTCAAGAGAGCCAGAGTCAACTGCAAAGGCCCATGCTTAGCCATCCCTGTAGACTCCCTGCAATACTTGTTCTTATTAATATAATAGACAATTATTTACAGTTTTGTAAATCAATTATATAAAAATTCTTGGGAAGAAAAGCATAAACAATACAACTGGTTAATAAAATGAAACATAATATTCACAATCTATATCAAATTTAATAATTTGCTATGTAATGATGCTATTATTTCATTATGTCTGACAAGAATATAGAAATAAATGCATTTCATCCTGGCAATCTGATCATGAACAATTGGGTGTTGCAACATAATATGATATATAATATAAAATAGAATATAAACATGCAGCATAACTACATCAAGTATGAATTTATAGAATAAATATTTTCATCTTTAAATACAACCAAATAGCACCTTAAGATTCCCCAGATCAACAGATCTCCAAGTACTTCTCAAAATCTGAAAAAAACACTAGTTATCCTGTTTGATTTGTGTCAAATTTTACTTAACCTTTTTACGGTAACCGTAACTCCCCTTAGAACATATTCTGAATTAATAATCCTTATTCTCATTTTAAAAAATCACTCAGAACATCTATAAAAGCAGAAATATTCGTATTATCATATCAACATCTTATTGCGTTACACTCCATACTACGTATTCATGGGGAGATAATTACTGGCATAGGGATAAGGAGTAGTAATAACTTCAGAAATTCACACCTCCACATGCTTATAATGCACAGGCTAGAAAATGAAAAAGAAAATAGAAAATGAAAAAGGAATTACTTCTTCTTCCTTCTTTTATAGGGTTTTAGACTATTATCTAGTCTATATCCCCTGGATCTGTTTTCTTTCTTCTTTCTTTTCTTTATATTATTTCTATTAGTTTCGGTTTTCTTTAGGAATATTTTTGTGTGTTAAAAAGTAGCAGCCGATGTCCCTTTCCCCACGGGTTGTGTTTGTTTACATGTTAACTTCACCGTGACTCTACTACTTCTCTGTTTTCTGGTGCTTATGTGAGTTTTTGATACACAAGAATTACTTGTTATGTGTGTTTTTAATATATGTGATATATTACGATAGACAGATATTTCATATAAGATGTAAATATAGTAAGTAAAATTGGTGAAATCAACTATTATGGGTTAAACTAATTTCTAGTATTAAGTTATATACATCATAAAACTGCATATTAATCCATGATAAAATTATAGAACCGAAATGAGGGATTTAAAAAAACACCAGTAGAATATGTTTCAATTTTTAAAATCGATGGGAAAAGCGACACCAAGAGGGAATATGTTTTGGGCCAGCGCTCGCTCCGCCACTAATGTCAACAAACATTCGCCCGAATTTGAAAGCCAAAGCAGCCTCCGCAGGTTTAAAGGGACATTTTCACCGGTTTAGTTGATCGTGATGTTCTAAGAAGGGATTTATGAGAAGGACCGATATTTACTTTTTATAATCTGTGGGACGTGTACAAGGTATTTATGTTTTTATTCTTATAATAAACGAAAAGGTGATTAAGTAATATTTTTAAATCGTTTACTTTACCTTCTTTAGATTTGATAAATTTAAGTATTAAGTCATGTTGATTAAATGACAGTCTTCATTATAAGGACTACTAATATAATAAAGTCACTTTAGTATGATAAATTGTACACTCGTGGCATTTGTGTTATATTAAATAAACATTTTGTACTTTTTTATTTTTTTCATGTTTTCTCGGACTGATACGTTATTTGTTTATAAGTATCATAGTATTGCATATAAAGCAGTAAGAAAAAATAAAACTATTGTTTGTTGTTATTGCTTAAAAGAAATGCAAGGCAATATCAAGTTTCCATATTTTATTTTCAGATATTACTATGCCTATTTTCTAATCACTTGATTCCATATATCACTGTTTTTACAGTTATTAGTCTAACATTACACTCAGTAACTGTAAAGGCATTTTACAGGTAAATGTTTAGAAGAAACATCCCTTACTGACCTGAACACAGTTGCTGCATCACAATCTACCTGTGTTCCAGCAAAGGCCCACAGTCCTTGCTTTTAGACATTATAGGCAATTCCAAATGAGGAATCAATGCAAGCCCTGAACAGAAATGGTTAAGGCTGGTTTTCCTTTGTTGGTACATACAGTGTGGAGGCTGTGGTGAATGCTTGACAGTGTGCCATTATCAGGTTCGATTAATGATTTTAGGCCTTCTGAGTTTCAAGAGGTCCAGATAGATCACAGGTATTATAATTACCAGAAGTAGTTCCATTTTAAAAGGCATTGTAGGTATCCTCTAAGGATTTCTGAGCATTTACTGTACCATTTATCCCACTTTATCCCTCCTTTCAGAAAAGTTGACATGGTGTCGTCTAATGAAGACCCCGACTCAGGTCCAGGTACGGGTGATGAGGCAGGAGAAGACGGCAGAGGCAAAGTAGATGGATCGGGTCAGCCAGCCCAGCAGCAGCAGAGGAGTTGGGGGGATAGAGGCCAGGGAGAGAAAGTGACGACTGGTGAGAGAGAATTCGGTTTAGTTTGACTGTATGATATTAGTTGATTGGGGTTCATGTAGTCTTTTGTTAGTATAAAGAAGAATAGAGGTTTGATATTTGTGTGACTAAAAATAAAATAGTGTGGCAAATAAGGAGAAGGGATTTTATGTTTTTTATCAGCCACTGATGTTTGACTTGGATAAGATCAGTAGTCATTGTCAGTGAATGGTGTAAATAGTTTAGATAGATATCTTTGTCATGTTTATTGATTAAATACCAGTATTTGATTTTGGAAAATATGTATGTGTTTTTATTTTTTTACCATATTTACTCCAATAGTTATCATTGCTTAATTGTATGAAACTTAGATTAATGGATATTTTATCCACAGATATACTGAGATTTATGATTTGAGAAATCTTTCCATAGCTTAGTTTATAACCCTGACATCTTTCAGAAAGGAAAACGAAAATAACAGAGACACGTAGAGAGACCATCACGTCCAAGGGCATTCACGACTTATCCTCAGCCATCAACAGCTTGGATGACCATTTCCAGGTGAGTCATCTTAAGACATTAGTTAAACATTAATGCACATCCTTTTAAAAAGATATTTTTAAAATCTGCACCATAACACTGATGTAATTCAATTTGTTAACCCAGTTTTCATTTGGTTGGCATTTATGTTATGTCATGCTAAAAAGTTCCATTCTCACAGATGACATGTAGGTCTATGCCATGTCATACTATGAAGGGCCATCTCACAGGTGGCATGCAAGTCATGTCATGCTAAGGAGGGCCATCTCACAGGTGGCATGTATTCCATTTCATGCTAAGAAGGGCCATCTCACAGGTGGCATATATGTCATGTCATGCTAGGAAGGGCCATTTCACAGGTGGCATGTATGTTGTTTCATGCTAAAAAGTTACATCTCACAGGTGGCATGTATGTCATGTCATTTTAAATAGGGCCATCTCACTGAGCACACACATGTTATGTCATTAGGAATACTGTCAGATCACTGACTATGGCCCTTTTACCATGCAGGTTTTGCACTGTGGTGGCTGGATGCTTTTGCAGAAATCTAGGCCAAAAACATACTACTAAGACCTCACATTATCATAAATGCATGTATTAATGCCACAAACCAGGACTTTACCAGTTCATATATAGGATGACAAAAAGTGTGCTAACATGTTTAAGTGTGCCCTAGTCTTTAGGCCTTTTGGCCTTTTATCCCACATGGAGTCATTTTGTTGATATAAAAAATTCCATACTGTAGCATTGATATAGACTATATTTATTGTACGTGGTATGAAAAAGCTACATTTTAATATTTGTAAAGATTACCCTGATAAGATATAAAGATATCCAAAAAGTAGAACACTAATACAGATTCCATTGACAACATATCAGACTACTTCCATTAAGAAATTTTAACCTTGTCAACAGGCAGGTCTTCAGGAGGTGCACAACAGCCTGGCCAGCATTCACCAGGAGAGAACCACACTGACAGAACGCTTGCGCAGCGTCTCGGAAAAGCTGGTTGAAGTCTCAGGAGAGAAAAATGAATGCCAAAATGTTATTTCAGATCTCCAACAGGTATGAGACTTTTTTTTGTGTTTTTTACTCAATAAAAAGAACCTTACTTATATTGCTATCAAATCTATGGACACAGAATGTTTTCTATTTTTCAGTTTCCAATAAAGAATTGTTCACTGCTTCATTGTATTTTAGCATATTTTAATCTATGATTATGTATATAATCAAAAAAGTTTCTGAGTTATAAAGATTAGTTTATTACTTCTACCTGTGTTGTTTATGAAGAATGTTGATAATGCCTTATTGGTAGCAGCCTGTCCTTGTTTCCTTGTTCTTATGGTGTTATTTTCTGTTCTTCTGTCTTTATAACATTTACATAAATTATGTTAATAACAATACTTTGATATAATATGATGCAGAGTTAACTTTTTAATACTAATATTAGAATGATCTCTTTACTTCTTTGCATTGCTTGGATAATGATCATAGTCTCCTAGGGTTGCTTTTCATATTATAATTTGAGCGTGTATATAGGCTGATATACAACTGATAACTAACCTAATTGATCTGAATCAAGGAATTTACATTAGAAAGTCTGTATAAACTGTGGTCATTATTATTTTTGGAGTGTGAGTAAAATAATGAAGAGGTGACTACTAGCTGAATAATGATAAATTTAGATAGTATTTAGAAGATATATAGAGTATTTATATTTGTGTACAATTTTACATGTTGTGTCACCATTAAGGTTTGATGGGGGACATATGCTGTTTGTTATTCTTTGCTATTTGAGGATTCATAATGTGAAGAAAACATTGAATTAAACTTTAGTTATGCCTAAAGAAAGAAGAAGAGAAGAAAAAAAATGTAATGCCAGAAGCTGTGCTACAGTATGGCTTTGTAAATTGTATGGGCTATGGTTATTAGGAAAAAGCAAGTCCCCATCACTTCCTTCAGGTAGTATGGGACTGCTAGACAGAAGTAGACATAAAAACACTAATGCACTCTTTATGTGTTAGGACTATTTTAATGCCCAACACATAATGATATATTTTTCAGATTTTGTCAAATAAAATTGGAGTTTGGAAGATTGGGGTGTCACACTCCACACTTCCTACCCTACCCAAGCTAACTATATCCGAGAAAGATAAATGTAATACTAACCTACAGTTAAACTAGATATTATATTATACCCAGTTTTATCAAGATTGACTAAATTCCAAAATTACTGTATTTACCAAATTAAAGACTAATTTTGATAATAATGATAATAAGGTAGGCAGACATCAGAGGACATAGCCTTGACCTACAGTTCCCCCTGTATGCTAGGAATAGTTATGGTCCTAATCATTTGCAGCAACAGAAAGGCTTGAACTCTTGAACACTAGATCATGGAGCTAGCTACTATGTCTACATTGCCATTGAACAATGAATACTTTAAAGTTATTAAAAAGAGATTATAAAGATATTCAGCATTTGTTATATATTACAGGAAGTCTCAAACATCAGGGACCAGCTGACCCATGAACAGAGGACTAATGCCGCACTGAGGAATAGAATCCATGAAATGGAAAATGAGAATGAGGTATAGTAAGTCTTTCAGTTTGTTTTTATTCATTATGATTTTTATGATTGTTGCTAGGTATCTGTGAATGGTTTCTTTTTTTTAGGTGCATTCATTTACCTTACTCAGATTTTTAATTTTTTTAAGAGTTTTAAGTGTCTGAGTGTGTAACTAGTTTATTGAACAAGAGAATTCTTTTTTGATTCCCTGTCTCAGTACACTTTCCATGTCAAAAGATAAAAGTTCCTTCTATTACAAATATCCTTCATATTTCAGTTTAAAGAGCAATTTCTTTCCTAAGGTAAAATGGTTTATTTCTGTTATAGAGTATAATGTTCTCTTTGCAATAATCTTTTATTTTCTTAATCCCTTGGATCTAGGTGCTGCATTGCCTACACTTGGCCCAAAATCCAGGTATTAGGCTTACTTGAGTGGTCACTTTCCTGGGTGTGTGGCCAGGTACACACGAACACTCATGTGTGGTGCCAAGACTCTTTGTCTTCCTTTTGCAATGTTATTATTTTTTTTTCTACCTTTGCCTTTTACTTACAGACTTGATATCATCACTAGGTAGTGCAATAGTGATGTTCTAATAACAATGAATAACATTTTGTTATTTGTATCATTTCAATTTTTTTTCCATAATACTCTGTAATATAACCTGTGCCCCTATACCTATATGGTTGTAACTGGTCTCTGTCTATTGTGCATACATAACTGCTACATTTTTCTCCTGGACGAATGGCACAGGCTTTCCCGCTGATAAGACAATCTAGTTCTGGTGAACAGATTTAACCTAGTGGTGGTGGATTTTTCCTGTGCTGAACTGAGCCAGATGCCTAAGGCCACACACAACTGCTCAAATAAAAGATTAAAGGCACATGGAACACATATTTATCCCACTCTAAGTGCATTTGGCTGTAACGTATGCGATTTTCCAGTAATTAAGGCTAAAATGGCTTTATCCCCACTTTTGAGGGGCTGTAGCTCCTGAATAGCCACACTCAGAGACACAAATGGGGAAAGCTGTTTATGTTGCACATCTTGGAGCTTGCTGACAGCATGTGTTATGTATACTTGTCAACTGGCATTTAGGCTCCCCTTATTATAGCAAGAATAGGTGCACATCATCATTATTGTTGTTGGGATGTTGCTCTTTGATGATGATAAGTCTTCAAGTGCTCCCTACAGTTCCAGTGGTGAAATCACTGCTGATTTTAATCCATTGTCACTTTGCAGTGACAGGTGTTTGGACCTCACTGGTTGGTGAGTTATTCCAGGTCACAAGTCAGGAAATAATAGTGAAGTTTCTTGGCTGTGCTGAATGGGTGCTATGCTCTTCATTATCTTTATGTTCAGAAACAGCTGACTGAAGCCTCTTTTATATGTTGTAGGGAAAGGGTACATGCTCACTTGGATACTGTCATTATCATGGAAATGCTGTTATAACAAAATTACTCAAATTTTGCCTTTTTAGTCTTGATTTCTTTCAGTCCTTTCCCTTTCTCTTTCATATAAAATAACATTGAAATTTTATTACTCCTTGTAATAATTAGGTACCCCGGCATGACAGTGGTATACTTGGTATATAACAGATATGAAGACTTACTGATTGACTACAGATGCTACCATGTAGGATACCGCTATACTAACAAGTCACAGTCCAATTTGCTGCATCAAAGGACAGAGCTTAACCCAGTGTTGCTGGGAAAATGTTGTGCTCATTTAAATTTTTTTTGTGAAATGTCTCTGCACATAGACGGCCCTGCTAGTGCTTAGCCACAAAGGAGTCAACTAGTAGACTTTGCGACTTTACCCAATTTCACCTTTCCTTGAATTGCCGTGAAAAATGTATTCTAGACTAATACTATGAATATCAATGGTTTTATTTTTATTATAGACATTATAACTACTATAATGTTATAAAGATTAGTAACAGCAAAATAAGATAAATTAAAATATTTCTGTAAAGCAAGGAAAAGGGCAAACAGACAAGACAGGCAGTACTCATAATTGGGTCATTGATTGGTGACTTAGTACAAGTGTAACCATCTATGTATAAAAATAATTAATAAAGTAAACTCACAGTGGGCATGGAATGTATGTACATACATGCCATGCCTGTCGTCATTAGGTTAAGAAACTTAATGCTTTAACCCCGTGGTTTCCAAACATTTAGTCCTAGTAAATCTTTCTTTCATTGTTAGGATTATGTCCAACCCAACTAGGTTGTTATCTTAATAACTGAAGAGTCTTTTTTTTGTATTGAAATGATTATGATCAAGCAAATCTTATTACTAGCTAAAGAAGAAAAGAAATGAAGCCTGAATTGTAGATGGTACAATTTCCAGTTTAAAATGCCATTAGTTTGATTTTGTGTTCAATGAATAATCATGTTCATTTCATGTTTGTTTCTCTTGTGATAAGGGATAGACAAGGGTTGTTACCTGGCTTATAGATCTTTTGCATACAACATAGAGCTCACACAGGATGTTCTGTACCTCTCTTAGTAGATGAAATCATAATTGATTGTCATCAATTGATTAAGGGACTTGTAAATCAGTTAGGCATCTGTTTATGATATTTGGCCATGATTTTCTGCCAGTCAGGTTTATGTGCATGTATTGAAGAAAATCTATTCAATATGATGTAAC